GTAAAGCCTACTTTTAGTTTGAGTGAAAGTTCTTGGTGAGGAGATTAGAAGGGTCGATCCCACCAGAAAATGAAGAAGGATCTCTCTTGACCAGGTATCGATTAGCTTTCTCTAAAACATTCTTGGTAACGCTGTTTCCGAGACATTATCCTTCGATTATGGTTGAAACGTGACTAATGACGGATATCCTCAGAAGCAAGTTACCATTCTTACAACCATATTCAAGCTAACGAGTCTTAATTCGTCAACAAGAATGCTCCAGCGAAGCCAATCGACAGAACATAAAAAAGAATCCGTCGTCGTCTTCTGGTGAGAGTGGCGTTCGAATTTCTTCACCAAACACTTTCATTCTAAATGAAATCAAGCTCAACAATTATGAATCATAAGATTATTTGAAACCAAACTTTACGACGCATATACTAAGTTTTTAGTGTATCAGTGAATCTTCCTTCTACCTTAAGCACGAGCCCATTAGTAGAAATTAAATCGTTGATAGTAGGCCTATTCATATATTGAAATATTTATTATATTATAAACAAAATTAACTAAAAATGTATTTCATTAAATGTATTAAATTTGAGTCCTTTAATCTTATCTTTACCGTCTTCTCTAGAAAGCGGTTTAGCACTCAGCTGAACTGAAGAGATGCTACTCTTGAACAGACCTTCTATCCGATGTTTACATCTGCTCAGATGGAAAACGAAGTGTTGTGATAACGATACATCCTATCTGAAACTCTTCGCAGAGTCCTCCATTTTATTGGTTCCCATCGCCTACAAGATCACATCATACCTTTGTTGGCCACTTGGGGTGATGATAATTTTGTTGACTTTGGTCACGGCCGGAGCAATAACCACATTTTGTCTGTCAAGCCAAATGAGTCTTGTTTATCTGCCATCTACCACGCCAACAATATATACCGGCAGGACGACCGCTGTTTCGCTGCAGATAATCAGCCATTTCATTGACCGATTGCTCCCTTCATTGTTGCTGTCGCTCACTCTAATTTTGCTTGTTCCAGAGAGCCTATGGATGGTTAGTCGTCTACCAAGTGCTGGGGCTCTGGTGACAAAAGAGGTGCAAAAGACACAGAACCTGGCCATCGGTATGTAATTACGTCGAATTTTTTTGATATTTTTAATTTTTCAAACATGTTCTGAGGCTTGGCATAGATTTTATTTTTCTAAGGACCAAGAAAAGTCCTTTAAAATTCTGGATAATAAATAGATGCTCAGAAGCTATCCCTCATTGCATTAAAAATATCTTATTTTTAGAGCCCCTTTTACATTTTCCATGTATAAATTTTAACGATGACTTATTAGTTCCTGAATAAATCCTGCAATTTTATATTTATATTTAGTAACGGTCATAAAGTTTATTGAAGATCCATCCTACTTGTACAATTATTCATTAAGTTGTCTCGTTAAAATTAACTTTTGAACAAGAATCTTTTAGTAACCAAGATTTTGTGTAATTGCAGTCTAGTTTCAATACTTACCAAGTATAAATACAGATTAAAGATATTGCATAAAGTGAGCAGTAGAGAGAGAATTCTTTGTTCAGATAAATTTCATGGAAAAATAAATTGATTTAATACATGAAATTAATAGTAAACCCATCATTCTATCTAGCAGATCCCATTGAGGATAAAATAAGAAAATTCATATAAGTTTAAATTGCTCCGAACTACAGAAAAGGATCATTTTTAAATAGTAGAGATGAATATGCGCCAATATGGAAAAATATGGAGCGATTTTACCGTCGCTAGGGCTAGGAGAAAATTGAGCTATGACAGACTGACTAATGAAGTCGGCTACTCTCTTAATGGACAATTTGGGTCAGTCTTCTCATTCATCTTTATCCACATAAAGGGATAAACATTTACACTCATACCCAATTCGATAAAGTAAAGTTTTTCATCGGGATGAATGCTTATTTGAACGCTTACTTATATAACCGTATTAATGCAAAGACATGTGCGTGTGTGCATGACATGAAAAGTTTTTTTCGACTTCGTTCTATCCAACTTTTATTCTTATTAATATAAGAAAGTCTAATATGATTATTTATTTATATCTATTTAGCTCTAAGCATCAGTACAGGGAACATGAATTCGCCCAGCTGTCTTGCCACTATTTCTGTGCATGTAATGCCTCTGCAAACATGGCTCATCAATTATATTATTTTGGCTGGATAAAATCAGAATATTTAATTTTTATATTGTACCTTTTGACAATAACAAGAGTATTTTACAGACAAATTAATTAGAAGATTCTAAATGGATTGTAATTTAAGTAGAAGTAAATATTTATACTAGAAGTGCACAAACGAGGAAAGGATGGATCTTTTATTCCAAAAAATAGAACTGAAATGTAAAATTAATAGTGATTGCATGCGCAAAATGAAATCGGAAAGATTTAAAGTTTCGCCAACTAGTCTTGACAAGAATTATAATAAATCAATGATGGTTTGCAATATACCTGTAATACCTTTCAATAAAAAATAGATTTTCAGTTAACATTACTATACTTGCTAGTAGCTATCAAAATTAACCTTGATTAACCTTGAAAGTCCTTATCAATACTTGATTTGTATAATCACTGTTTTATCGCTTAGGAGTAGTGAGCTTTACTTTGCAGGAATTACCAGAGCGCATGTTTGCTTATATCATTAGTTATTCATGTAAACCTCAGACTATGTTTATTCTTTGTGCAAAATAGTAAAAATAGTTAAAGTGCACTATTGCTTATACTTCAGAGATAGACTTTTATTTAATTTCAAATAACTTGCTAGCTGAAGAAAAAGTGAAATTAAATTATTTTGCAAATCACATATATTGATCATGGTAGTCATACTTATTTCTAGTGTGGAACAGATGATTAAATGAATTTACAAAATTTTCGCAACTATTGTCAATGGCTCACAGTTGAAATTAGAGAGATGGACTGGGAAGTCATTGATTGAACATTAGCGTTGCCAGCTGAGCACTATTCCGAACTGGAGCAAGAAGAAAGACAGAATTAAGTTTTTTATTGTGACATGACTTTCCATTTCGAAGA